CTGAGGGCGGAGCCAGGGTGGGGATTTGGGGAGGGATCCAATGGGGCGGGGTGGGGCGTGAGACAATTCGCGTCCTGGCGTGGGGCCCCGCACCTGCTAAAGCCGGCCCTGCTCCCCAGCTCCTCTTGCCTTTCCCCAGCCATGCTCCAGTCCCTGTTTCCTGAGCTCCCAGGCAGCCAAGTCCTTCTCCGTCCAAGGCTGGAGAGAGAGACTCCTCAGCTCTTGGCTCACAGCCCTCTTATCAGGGCCAGCTGGGCCCTAACTGAGCTGGCCACACCTGGCTGCTTCCCCAATCAGCCTAGCTTGGGCTGCCTTGCTGGCTGGAGCTCTCCCTCCTTTCCCGGGCTGCTGCTGTCCTGCTAGCTGGAGCTCTCCCTCCCTTCCTGGGCTGCTTCTGCTTCCTGGAATCTCCCTCCCTGGACTACCACTGCTGTTGCTGAGTGGGGGGGGCCTTGCCGGCCTGCCCCCCTGCCTCTGGAGGGAGAAGCACGGGCCCCACCACCACCTAGGGGTCCCTCCTGCCTGGCCGGTTGACTGCTGCTTGCTGCTGTTGAGGAGAAAGAAGAGAGGATTCCTACTAAGGGACATTGTGGAGGGGGTTTGTTTACAAATGGAGTGACTTTTACCATCTCTGCTCCTGGGGTGGTGGTGACTCCTATTGCTGTTGAGGGGAGCACGGGGAAGAGGCGCGGAGCCCTCTCCCTAACCCATCTGCTCCCCCCCTACCACCACCCCCACTGCCACCCCCTCCACCACCCCACTTACCACCTGGACCTGCTCTTTGCCCCTCAACGGGGCTGTTTGTTCCCCACCTTTCACCACCTGGGACTGTTTGCAGCAGTGAGCAGCAAGGACTGAGCTACACAAGCGCACGTGGACGCACGTACCTCCCCACCTTGGACTTACCCTATCCCCCCCAGCTGCGTTTGGCTGGTGGGGCCCCCTCCCTGCTGTGCCCCCTGGCCCCCCTGTGTTTGCCCCTCCCCCCCTGCAGCCTGCCCCGCCCGCCTCCTCCTTTGACCCTCTAGGGGTTTCCCTTTCTGTTGGTTTGCCTGCCCTGCCCTAGCCCTTCAGTATTTGTTACCTGCCCCGCCCCAAACTAGCGTGAGGGACCACTGGACCCAGGGACCAAATGAGTACGGGGGACAACAAATGAGAAAAACAGGGACTGAGGTGAAGGTCATAAGTTCAAAATGAGGGTACCGGGTGGGGACACCGAGCAGAGAACCCCGGACAGCGCCCACTGCTCCTTGCGCTCCTCAAAAGTGTTGAGGGAGCCAGTGGACGCTGCCCAGTAGAACTCTGCCCGGATGTGTGAAACTAGGGAGGAACGGAAATAGGCCCCACAGAGCACCCCCTCATCCAGCATCCTCCTCCTGGTAGTGTAGATGGAGAATTTGGCCAGGGCCAGGAGGAGGTTGATGAGGAGGTCTTGCGACTTCGTGGGGCCACGGATGGGGTGTGCAAAAAGGAACAGATGCGGGGAAAAGTGCAGCCAGAACCTCAACAAGAGGTTCTGGAGGAGCCAGAATAGGGGCTGCAACCTGGTGCATTCAAGATAGGGGTGTGCCAGGTTCTCCCTCACGCTGCAAAAGGGGCAGGCCTCGGGTACGGGTGTGAACCGCGCCAGGTACACGCCCGTGCTCATGGCTCCGTGAAGGAGCCACCAACTGATGTCCCTGGCGGGCCGTGGGATCAAGGTGGAATAAAGGCTGGCCCTCCGGGGCTCCTCACCCTCTTTAGGTGGGAGATAGTCCCGCCATTTGGTGTCGGGGCAGGACATGAGGATGAGGAAATGCAGTTTTCTGACCTTCACGGTCTCCTGTAAATCCTGTCTGTTTTCTCAAGCTTTTGCCTGATTGGGTGATTTTGAGGTAGTTAGGTTTATTCCAAGGGACAGGAGTACTGTACATGCATCCAGAAACCATATGATGGTCACATTCTCTACATCAGAATAAATAAATACCACTTGATTTATGCTGTTGATACTCTTTAAAAGCATCCCAGTCCCCTCTAAAACCCTGTATGCCTTGCCATCAACCCAAACCTTTCAGATCTGTGAACATGACCAGGTGCTTAAGGATAAGCTGATGTTGCCAGACAAAGCCAACCTCTTTGGAAATATCAGTGAGTGTTTTTCCTGTGTTAAAAGCTCAGTTTCACTGGCAAGGCTGTATGGCATCACAGTAATGACCAGCAGAGTGGATTGCAAGTCAGGCTGGAGGTGCATTCATGATGTGTGGGAACGGGGAGGCCGGGGGGGCTCGCGGAACAGGGGTTGAATAAAAATGTCTGGAGGGCCCGGGGTTAGGGGTGGGCGGGGAGCGCCCTCTTGCAGGGCCCGCTGCAGGAAGACGAGAGAGACGGATGACAAGGCGGCCTCCACCTCCTGCAGTACACGCAGGGGGGTCGGAAAGCTGGAGAGCCCCATGTGCCGACCGAGCACATGGGCATCCACCCAGTCCCCCCATTGTAGTCCAGGAGGTCTCCGACCCTAGTGGTTTCTGCCAGGACCAACCTCTGGCGCACCGAGGGAAACTCCACCACCTGCACACGTAGATCAGGGTTGTGTACCAGGGGGTCCGCGAGGAGGTCCACCCCCTCGGTGGCCACAAAGGACCTGGTCGCTGAAAAGAGCTTCCAGGTCTGGAGGAGGTCCTGGTAGAAGACCGGCAGCTCTGAACGGTCTCGCGGAAGACCCCTCGGGTGGAGAAAAAAGAGCTGCTTGTCATATCGGAGCCCTTGGAGGTGGCGGAGGAAGGCGTGCACCAACGTGCTCCACGCAACATAAAGGAGTCTCTGCAGGGCCTGGAGGCGGAAGACATGGACCTGGCTACGAAGGCAGACCAGGCCCTGTCCTCCCTCCTCCAGGGGAAGACTCAGAACCCCCGCAGAGACCCAGTGCAGTCCTGGCCAGAAAAACTCCAGGGCTGTCCTCTAGAGCCTGGCCAGGATCCCCGGGGCCGGGCTCAGGGTGTTGAGCCGGTGTCAGAGCATGGACAGGACGAGCTGGTTCAGCACCAGTGCCCTCCCTTGCAGGGAGAGACACCGGAGCAGTCCTGTCCATCTCCACAGCCGCTCACCCACCCTGACCTCTAAATCCTGCCAGTTCTCCGGTGGAGAAGGATGCGTGGTGGAAAGATAAATGCCGAGATAGAGCAGCGGACCCGTGCTCCACTGGATGGCTTGGAGCGCGGGTAGGAGGGAGCTCGCCTGCCACCCGTCCCCAACCACCAGGCCAGAGCTCTTGACCCAGTTGACCCAGGTGGAGGAGGCCGCCAAATAAACGGCCTGGCAGGCCTCCACCCGCACCAGGTCGCCCGGGTCCTGGACCACGAGGAGCAGGACCAGCCGCAGTTCCGGCTT